GCCCCCAATCCAAGCAGGTGAGGGGATAAAAAGGGGGATTTGGAGGGGAAGCGGCCACTTACGGGATGGGGAGCAGGTCTGGCTGGCTCTGGAGCAGGTAGGTCACAGGCGGGTAGGAAGTGGCTGGTGGCCAGGGGGCGAGCGTGGCTGAGAACACAGGACCAAGCTGAAGGAATGACTCCAAAGCTCACGCCCCTACCCTGGACGAGACCTCGAAGGGCAGACTAACCCCCGACACCCCTGTGCCCTGGACAGGCCTTGGAGGGGGGGCACCCATCTCCCTCCCCACCCCCAGCTCAGGTCAAGGCCATGTGGGCAGCCACAGGGGGAAACTGAACAAAGGCACACGCTCTCCCACCCACGCCAGGAGACGCTCCCCCCGCATCCAAGGAAGGTGACCCTCCGTGTACTCACGAGGCGGTTTGATCACGATGCTACTTGGGGTCAAACTAGCAGGAGAGACACAGCTTGGGTAAGCAGCTGGGAGAGGCCCCAGACCCCATCTCAGTCCCCTGGGGCCCAGCCCTGCATCGGGTATTGAGGGAGACACCCAGGGCGGACAGGGCAGACTCACCCATCGGAAGCAGCAGTGTCATATGAGCCTGGGGAAGAGAGGGCCCGTGAGGCAGGAAAAGGGGGTGATGAGGGCAGAGGGTGATGGAGTACAGGCCTCTCAGCGACTCGAAAGAGTTAGAGGGACAAAGGAGTTGGGGCGTGGGGTGAGGATCCCCGTTGGTGTGTCTGAGCATCTGGACACCCCACCAGCACCCACTCACCTGGCAGCTCTCGGCAACGCACACACAATGCCATCAACAGCACGGCCAAGAGAGGCAGCAGCAGGAGGCCCAGCACAAAGAGGACCAGGCTGACTGCCTCCATCTGCAGGGGAGAGCGTGGACCGGGCCTAGCTGCTCGCCACACAACCCTCGGGGACAGAGCAGCAGCGGGGCAAGGGCCAGGCCAGAAAGGGTACAGGGGCCGAGCGGGCACCAGGCTGGGAGCCTAGTGGGGGGCAGCTGCGCCCTCCTCGGGGGCTCCCTGGGTCTCCTCCCCTCAGCGGGCGTCAGCGCAGGCTCTGGAAGACCCTTGAACCCAGGGTGGTCAGGCCCTGGCCTGGTGTCTGGGGCGCCAGCCACCCCTACACAGACCCTGTGCCCCAGCCCTACCTGCCCCTGGACTCTGCCCCTAGGCTCTGCGCCTGCCTCTCCTCAGCGCCTGCCTGCCTGCGGCAGGAAGCTGTGGTGAGCACCGGGTGAGGGCAGGAAATCATCAGGGCTCAGCTGGCTGCACCCTCCCCCTTCCCACCCCAACCCAGCCAGTGGGGAGGGGGAGGAGGCAGCCTCAGGAGCCGACCCGGGCCCTCAGGAAGGGTCTGCTGGTCCCCGGGACAAGGGGCAACTCAGACCAGTGGGAGGAGGAAAAGATACTTGCAGGCCAGCCAGCTGCCGTGCCCTCCACAGCGTGGCTCAAGGAGGCGGCAGGGAGGGAGGCCCTGACACCAGGAATTCTGAGGGGCCCAGGGCATGCCCACCCCACCTCATCCTGGCCGGCCTGCCAAGGGCGGGCGGGCTCTCGGGGAGACATGGGCGTAAGCGACTCCTGGTCACACTGAGCCAGCTCACTCCGCCCCCTCATTCACTGGCCCAGAAGGGCAGGGATTTGCCCAAGGGCCCGCAGGAGTGACCCAACAGCCACTGGGAACCTGGGACTAGAGAGGGGGCGTCCCCTGCAATGCAGAGGTCACTAGCACCCAGAGAGACTCCAGCAGGCACTTGGGGTCTGGCTACAAACTTTATTCAGTTACAAATAGCACCGAGCCCCTGGGGCTGCTCCAGTGGCGGGGGATCCCCCTCCCAGACCCCCAGAATCCCCTCTTGGCCACCTGCGTAGTGTGTGGGAGCTGGAACATGGCCCAAGGCCCCTCCTAGAAAATGGGCCAGCCGAGGATTTGGGCCCGGGCACCTCCTGGGGTGAGCCCAGGGCCAGCTGTGGTAGATGTGCAGGTAGCAAGCGGTGACCCCTCAGATGAGCACACTGGACACAGGGACCCGGGTGGAGCGTCCTCTCTGGGGCACCACGATGCGGTCATCAGCAGGCCCGGCCTCACGCAACAGACCTGTCGGGGAGGGATCAGAGCCAGGGCTGGATGGACAGACAGACACAGGGCCAGGGAGGGGACAAACAGGCACTAGCAAATGGATGGGGCAGCAGAGCCACACAGTGGAGCACCAGCTCGTGGGACAGGGAGACCTGAGGCTGAGGGAGGGGAGCGCTGTGGACTGAGGGCTGCCAGGGACACGGGGCTGGGTGGGCGGACGGATGGACAAGCAGGCAGCATCATGAAGTTAGGCAAGGAGCTGTGGACAGACAGCGGGGAGGCCCGACCGACCTTGCACATGCAGCTGGGCCCGCCGGCGGTCGCCCTCAATGAAGATGGCTGCGCCCAGGAAGGCCGCGCCGCCCAGCGCCCCCATGAAGGCGCAGAGCATGAGCGAGAACTGCAGGGCGCGGAACTCAGACAAGAAGGAGGGGGGCCAGCGCTGGCGGAGGCGGTCGGAGATCTGCAGGTAGACAAGGAAAGAAGAGTCAGGAGAACAGAGAGGAAGCCCCTGAACTCCAGGAGAATGAAGAAGACTCAGGCCTGGACCTTTTACTGCTGGAAATCTGGCAAGACAAAATCCTGCCCACCCAGCTGAGCCTCCGAGGTGAAGGGTGCCTGGCACAGGGGACTCGGATGCCTCACTAGGGTGAGACCCTCTAATCTGGCCTGTGCTCAGGCCACTGGCCGCCAGCCGGTACTGGGAATGTGGGGTCCCCCGAGCCCCACCCCAGGCCCAGCCAAGGGGCCGTGCTCACCAAGCCAATCAGGTAGGGGCTCCCAGCGTCACCCAGCAGGTGGGACAGCACGATCTGAAAGGCTTCAGCGGTGGAGC